AAAAAAAAAAAACAATTGTGATTATTTTCTACTTTTTATTAGATCAGATTTTCTACCAGAAACCATACTAAATGCCAAAGATAAATTTTTATACTCCTTAAGTGATGACATATTAAAAAAAAATATGTATTATATATGAAAAAACATATATTTTGAATAAATATATATATTTTTATTTTTATAGGATTGTAAACTCTGGAAAAAATCAGTACTTGAAGAAGATAATGTATTAGAGTTTTATGTGAAAAATATGTCCAAGTTTTTAAGCTCCGGTGAAAGCAATGGTTTACAAAATATTGTTAAATTTCCTTTACATCTAAATACTATGAAWCAGGTAATTATAAATTCAACAATATACTTCAAATTTGGTTTCAAATTKTATTATATGTATGGTTTTACCTGCTTATGAGTTATTTTTTAAAAGTACATATGTATATATTATTTACATACTGCCCTATTTTTCTGCTGACTTTAATGAAAATTAAATTAGTGTAATATATTAATATCTATATTAATAATTATTTTATATTAAATGCATGTCATTTTTCACACAAAATAAAGCTTTCTTTTTTCACTAGCTTAATTTTTAATCATTTCTTCAATTTAAAAAGTTAGCTCTCAATAAATTGATAATAAGGCAAGGACCCAAATTTTTCTCGTATAACAATTTTGAAACAACTACTAAAAATAATATAATTTTTTTTGGAAGGAGGAGGGGGTAGAAACCTCTTATAAATATGGAACTGACTTCTATATTATTTACATCAGATCACATATAGTTTATAGTCGTATGTAATTTTAGTTTATCTAATTAAAATGTATTTAAGTTAGAACTCTTATTTATTTAGAATTTTTGAAACAATGAACAAATTTATAAAAGCAGAGCGTGTGCTTTCTATGATTAATAATTATATAAATAATTTATTTTCCTGTATATAAATATTAAATGTTTATTGTTTACTTTATATTGCCATGTTCAAATTGTTTAATATTTTTAGGAACCAAATGCTACTGATGATGAAGTCAATAATATATTTCAAGCAGTTAAAGATGATTCAAATATTTTTAATAAACATGTTACACATAAAATTGTTGAACATAAAACAGTGCCAGAATATTCATCCAAGTGGAAATCAATGATAGGTAGTCAGTTTATGAGTGATGTCACTATATTTTCTAAAGATGAACATGCAATTCCTGCTCACATTCTAGTCCTTTATGTACAGTGCCCTGATATTTTGAATGACATAATTACAGAAGAATCTGATACATATAAATCAAAAAAAATGGTAATGTGGTCTGAGTACACTTATGAAGCATGCATGGCCTTCTTAGAACTAATTTACTCTGGCCAAGAACAATTAATAAGTCCAGAGTACAGAAAAGATTATTTGCATTTAGTTACAAGGTACAATGCTCAAAAAGTTGTAAATGATGATGATGGAAAACATGGATGGTTTACTGAAGAGTATGATAAAGTATCAAAACGTAAAAGCTCAGAATTATATTCAACTGATAATAAAAGATATAAAGCTCTCAGTCCAGATATGTTTATGATGGATAATACAACTGAAGAAATAGGTAATACGAGTTCTAATTTTTTAGGAACAACTGTGAATGATGAAAAAACCTCGAGTGTATTAAAAACTAAACAGTGGTTGAACAATTGTAACCTAACTCAACATCACAATTCATCATTCACARAAAATTTAGATATTAATGTTCTACCACAAACTATTTCACCAATGGGTAGTCCAGCTCATTCTTTTCATAGTGCATCGACTGTTGTACATATTCAATTATCACCTAGCGATCATCATGTTGACTATGAAAGTAATGATGTACCCATTAGTCCAATATTAGATATTAGAAAAGCATCCTCCAAATCATTACCTGTCGATGAATCAAGCGTGAAATCTATTTTAATATCAAATAATATTGAAAACATTCCTATTGATTTGGAAAGTCCTTCAAACAAAATTTCAATACTTCCCAACTTACGTAAAGAACCAGAATTAATTACAATCATCAGTGATAGTGACAATGAATCGATAGATATGATTTTGTCTTGTTATAATGGTACATCTTGTGATAGAAATATCAATCTATTGAATGAAAACAATTGTACACCTTTTAAAGCAAGCATTAAGAGAAAGAAAAATTATTTTTCATTTAACTCAGTTGATAAAAGTAATGATATAAGTGTTATTGAATTAAATGACAGCAGTTTAGATTCAATTCATTCAGGTATTACAAATAGATTACATAAAAGAAATTGTAAMTATAAATTGGGCAATTTTTCTGTTGACAAGTCTATCCTTTCAACACCGCGAACTAAGACATTCATAAATATTGATGATGAAAGCACCACAACTTCCACTGTACCAAAGTTTCTTCCCTCAAATACTTCTAATGCTCAAATTCCATTTTCAAATAATACAAATTTTATTGACTTAATAAATGATAGTAGCTCAGATTCTATCTTAACAATTGATAAAACAAAAGATGATAGTTTGTTGACATCATTTTCAACATTGCCATTGAATAATAATGTTCAACAAAATTGTCAGAATTCTTCAACCCCCTTTTTAAATGTATTGGAGGATATAAATTCTCCAATTTATGACAGTTCAACTACAAAAACTGAAGCAAATAATTGTGTATTGAATGCATCATCATTAAAAGAAAGTGACACATGGTCAAATTTTTCATCTCCAATAAGGGATGAAGGTTATTATGCACAAATTATCAGAAAAACAAATGAAGATTTCTGTTCAACAAATTCTTCTAACAATACTGTTTTACCTAAATGTAACAATTCAAAACTATTATCCAAATCTACTGAGCAATTATTTGCATGTAACGACTT